TTCTATCAATACCTCGTCATTGATATCTTCGGCCATTACCCAAGTGTTTTCTGACTCCGGTTCTCCTTCCCACACTACCAAATACTCCACCTGATTCCCCTTCCACCTGGCGTCAAGGATTTCTGCCACATGGCTGCTGCATTCTCTTTCTTCTATGACCGGTCCCCGAGTGGCCATCCCTTCCTCGTCCCCTTCGTACGGTGACAGTAACGACCTGTGAAATACTGGGTGCAGTTTCATGTGGTTGGGTAACCGGAGCCTGAAAGCCACTGGGTTGACCTGTTGAATGACCTCAAAGGGACCCAACCTCCTGGGTCTTAATTTCTTACAACCTCCTTTGAACGGCAACCCTTGGGTTGACAGCCACACCCTATCTCCCACCCTTATGGTTTCACCTTCCCTTCGGTTCTTGTCTGCCTGCCTCTTGTATTCTTCCTTCGCCCTTTCTAAGTTGAGTTGGAGCTGACGATGGATTGCTTCCATTTCTTCCACAAAATGCTCGGCTGCCGGGACGCTCCATCTCTCCCCATCTCCCCATGGGAAAGCCCTGGGATGACACCCATAATTAGCCAAGAAGGGGCTCATCCCTGTGGACACATTCTCGGCATTGTTGTAGGCAAATTCCGCCAGCGCCAACTTTTCTACCCAGTCATTCTCTCTGTCATTGACATAACACCTCAGGTATTGCTGGAGGACACCGTTTGCTCTTTCCGCCTGCCCGTTGGTTTCAGGGTGCCGGGCAGTCGTAAAATTGACCTCCACCTGCAGTAAGCTCATGAGCTTCCTCCAGAACCTGGAAGTAAATTGTTTTCCTCGGTCTGAGACCACCCTCAATGGCACCCCGTGCAACCTAAAAATGTGTTCTACAAATAACTTCGCTGTCTCTTCCGCCGTGACTGCATGCGAGCAAGCTACAAAGTGGCACATCTTTGTTAGTAGGTCTACCACCACCATGATGGCTGTTTTCCTTTGGACTTCGGCAGATCAGTCATAAAATCTATCGACACTGCCTCCCAAGGTCGTTCTGGGGTTGGTAAGGGTTCTAAGAGCCCCGCCGGCGCCCGCCTTTCCCCTTTGGCTCGCTGGCATTGCTCGCACCCTCTTACATACTCACGTACATCTTCCCTCACCTTTGGCCACCAAAATTCCCTGGTGACCAACCACATGGTTTTGTGTTGTCCAAAATGCCCCGCCGTAGGGCTGTCGTGCAACTGCTTGAGTACCCTCCCCCGTAAGTCTCCTTCAGGGATATACAGTGCCCCTTTGTAATACAAAGCTCCATTTCTTTCCACGAAACCCCCTGGTTCCTCTCCCTCACCCCTAAGACCTCTGAGCTTATTCTGGGCGTATTCATCATTCTCTGTTTCCTCTACCAGTTCTCTTTGTCCCACCAATGCCGCCCCACACACCCAGCGGTCCTCTGGAATGACATGTCTCTCTTCGGGTGCTCCCTCCCCCTCCAAATATTCAGGTTTGCATGAGAGAGCGTCCGCCCTAATGTTCTCTGGGCCTGGCACGTAAACAATCTCAAAGTTAAATTTGGAGAACTCCTGGGCCCATCTCACTTGCCGTTGGTTGAGCACTCGTGCCGTCCTCCAATACTCTAGGTTCTTGTGGTCAGTGCACACTTGCACCTTATGTTGTGCGCCAATTAGCAGGTGCCTCCATCTCCGGAACGCCTCATGAATGGCTAGTAGTTCTCGGTCATACACCGTGTAGTTCCTCTCGGATTTGTTCAGCTTTCGCGAAAAAGCACACGGTCTCCACTCTGACTCCTCCTTCCCTGGCTGCAGCAGCACCGCCCCAATCGCTCTGTCTGATGCGTCAGTTTCCACTCTCATCGGTTTTTGTAAATCCACATGCAGGAGTTGTTGTTCCGAGGCGAAGGCCCTTTTTAGTTCCTCAAATGCTCGCTCCGCCTCCTCAGTCCAAACGAACTTCTTCTTACTGCTGAGACAGTCCGTAATGGGCGCCGTCAGGTGGGCAAAGTTTCGGATGAACTTGCGATAGAAGTTCCCAAATCCTAGGAACCTCTGCACATCCTTCCTTGTTTTGGGTGTTTTCCATTCCAGCACCGCCTGGACCTTGCCGGGATCCATGGCCAATCCCTTGTCTGACAGGCGATACCCCAGGAATTCCACCTCCTTGGTATGAAACTGACACTTCTCCAGTTTCACCCACAGCTGGTTGGCTTGCAGCCTGCTCCAATACTTCTCTGACGTCTCTCACATGCTGCTCCTCATTCTCAGAATACACCAACACGTCGTCTAAAAGGCCACACAATTCTTGTAAAGCAAAGGCCCCAGGACGTGGTTCATAAACGATTGAAAGGTTGCGGAGCCTGCTTGTAGGCCGAAGGGCATAACCAAATATTCAAATGCCCCTAAAGGGGTGAACATGGTGGTTTTCCATTCATCCCCTTCCTTATTCGTACCAGGTTGTACGCCCCCCTTAGGTCCAGCTTTGTGAAAATCTTTCCCTTCCGCACCCTTGTCAAAATGTCGTCAATCCTGGGCATAGGGAAGGCCACTGGTTCTGACACTGCATTTAAGGCCCTGAAGTCACACACCAGCCTCGGCTTGTTCGTGTTTTTTTATCCACAAAAACACTGGGCTGCCCCCACCGCCCTGGACTCTCTGATGAACCCTCTCTTCAGGTTCTTGTCAATGAACTCTCTTAGCTCCTGCATCTCTCTGTCTGACATGGCGTACAGCTTGCCTACAGGGGCTGTGCCCCAGGGAGTAAATTGATTTGACAGTCAAAGGGTCTATGCGGGGGTAGTTGGTCAGCTTCCCTTTCGCTGAAGACGTCGCGGAGATCTGCGTATTGTCGTGGTACCTTCACGTTCTCCGTTACTTCAGTCCCTGCTAGGGTGGCTTGGGCCCCTGCCAAACCCTTTCCCTCTTTGCAGTGTTCTAAGCAATGTGCTGAACCAAAAGAAACCACTCTCTGATGCCAGCCCACCAGCGGATCATGTAACGCTAGCCAGCTCATCCCCAATATAATGGGAGCTCCTCCCAAGGTGGCCACATTAAACGCTATCAGTTCGGTGTGCCTTGCCACCTTCATTATCATTGGGACGGTCTGCAAGCTGACTTCTCCTCCCAACAGCTCCCTGCCATCGATCGTGGTCACCTGCAAGGGGTTGCTTAAAGGGATCGTCTGTATCTGGTGTTCAGCTGCAAACTCTTTGCTCATGAAATTGCAGGAGCTGCCTGAGTCCAACAGCGCCTTTATCTTTAGAGGGTGTCCGTTTGGCAGCTCTAGCGCCACTTCTATCACTAGGGCGGGTTTAGGAGGTTCTGGCGTGGGCACTCTCACTGCTCTTTGGCCTGGCTGCTGTGCCCCGACGGTGGCAGCCAGGCGTTGGCTTTTACTTGCTCCGGTATTTCTTCCTCTCTTCCCTCCACAGCTCCTACCATCCCTTGCCATTCCTTCCTCTGGGGGCAGACTCTGGCAAAGTGACCTGGCTGTTGGCAGAGATAGCATTTCCGGGCACGTTTTCCCTCCTTCTTTCCCCCCTCACTGGGCTTTGAAACTGCGCGCGCGCGCGCTGTTCCGATTTCCATCGGCTCTGCCGGCGGGAAAGTTGGCTCTGGAATGTCTGGAATGCGGAACTCCTTCCAACGTTCCCCCTTCCCTTCCCGCCTCTCCAATGCTCTCGCCTCCTGGCGCGCTCCTATGGTCAGCGCTGATTTGGTCAGCTGGTCCATAGACTCCGCCCTGGGCGCCCGGGCAAGTTCGTCTTTCACAGCCGAAGAAAGCCCTTCTTCAAAGAGCATTTGAATGGGTTCCGCCGATAAGTCCCACCCCAATCTGTGAACCAGCATGGTGAACTCAGTCCAGTACTCACGGACAGATCGGCTCCCCTGTTTGCAAGCCATTAACTGTCTGCGCACCACTCCCTGTTCAATATCGCTGGAAAACATCAGATCCATGGCGCGAAAGAACTTCATCGTGTCCTTTAGGACGTCACTATTCGCTGCCATCAGGGGTCTAACCCAGTCTTTCGCCCCCTTTTCAAGATGCCCAATCACGAAAGCCACTCGTGATTCCTCGTCAGGGAATTCATCAAACTGCAGATTGAGGGCATATTGCATCTCTGTCCGAAAGCCATGATAGTCTTTGGGCTCCCCAAACTTCTGCACCAATCCTGGTACCTTTCTGGCGAGCTGGGTGGCTTTCCCTTTTGTCTGCATCCTGAGCCCTCCTCTCCTCAAGCCTCGCCGTCTGCAGCGCTAGCTGGACCTCCAACACCCGGTACCTTTCTTCCAGGCTTGGACCCGCTCCAGCTCCTGCTTCTCCGGTTCCGGCTGGGTTGCTCATGATGCCTTCTCCTGCACAAGCTGCTTTCAAAGACTGTCGGAATGCTGTGATGGGATGATGAGCTGCTTGTGCGTAAAATAGTATCCCCTCAGAGTTTGTTCAAGTCCACAAAACTCTGTCTGTGACGGAGCCCTTCAGACATGGCTCCTCTAGTCACTAGCAGATTCCGACAGTGGTTGCTTTCGTAATCGCTTCCAACATAAAAGCTCCTTAACGGAAACACGTCTTCTGGACTCTCTGCGTGACAGTTTCCGGCGAGGAGTGGGTGTTCTTACTGGAGGTCCTGAAACCTCCCCACTGTTTTCGCTGGAAGTGTCTCTGAGCCATCCCTCCAGCTCACTTTCCCTCCGCTCAGCTCCTCTCCCCCTACTGGTTCCCTCTTCAGCTGCTGAGTCTCTCCCAACCTGTGTGAGCCCTTTCACCTCCCTTCCGTCCGATGGCAGTTCCCTGACAGGTGGGGTATAAATTATTATTATTATTATTATTATTATTATTATTATTATTATTATTTAGTCCAACCCCCTGCAATGCAGGAAGGGCAGCTGTTTTTCTGAATTCAAGGAGGAGGCCCTCAAACTGGGCAGGATTCTGAGGAGAATGAAAGATGGGGTTATATCCAATGTAAAAAGAGGAGGCTGAACTCCAGACCTCCCCCCTAGCATAGTAACTTTCCATGGGGTAGCTCAGTTGGTAAAGCATGAGACTCGTAATCTCATGAGTCACGAGTTCAAGTCCCACATTGGGCAAAACATTCCGGCATTGCAGGGGGTTGGACTACAGTCATACCTCGGGTTGAAGTTGCTTCAGGTTGAGCGTTTTCAGGTTGCGCTCCGCTGTGACCTGGAAGTAACGCAATGTGTTACTTCCGGGCTTTTCTGCATGCGCAGACGCTCAAAATGACATCACGCACATGCGCAGAAGCGGCGAATCGCGACACGCGCAGATGCGGGTTGTGTTTGCTTCAGGATGCGAATGGGGCTCCGGAACGGATCCCGTTCGTATCCAGAGGTACCACTGTAGAGGTCCTTCCAGCTCTACAGTTCTATGTTTCATGCGCAAGGAGCTTTTGGCATGTAAGCGGGTATCAAATGGGTGGTATAGTCCTATCGGGAGTGTACCATGAACTCACCTGCCGCCGATTGAGGGTTGGAGCGTGTTCCAATTCTGGAAGCTGCTCAAATTCTGTATCTTGAGCTGGTTGGGGGGAGAGAGAGAGAGATATTCTGTCTATTACTCTCTTGCCATGCAGGCCCGAGCCCAGCAAGAAACCCAAAAAGAAGAAAGAGAAAAAGAAGAAAAAGCACAAGAAAGAAAAGAAAAAAGAGAAGGAGAAGGAGAAGCATCGTAGAAAAAGAGAAGATTCTGCCTCCTCCACCTCCTCTTCTCCAGATAACAGAGAGAGGTAAGTCAGTGGGTCTCTTGTGCAACAGCCGTGAGTCTTCCATAAACAGCTAGGTTAGCAGAACTTGGCAACACATAGGAAGTTGCCCTTTTCTGAATCAGGCGCCTGGTCCACCTCGCTCAGCGTTGTCTACACTGAGTGGCAGGATTTCAGGCAGGGTATCTTTGCCCAAGGGACGCGGGTGGCGCTGTGGGTTAAACCACAGTGCCTAGGACTTGCCAATCAGAAGGTCGGCGGTTCGAATCCCTGCGACGGGGTGAGCTCCCGTTGCTCGGTCCCTGCTCCTGCCAACCTAGCAGTTTGAAAGCCCGTCAAAGTGCAAGTAGATAAATAGGTACCGCTCCGGTGGGAAGGTAAACGGTGTTTCCGTGCGCTGCTCTGGTTTGCCAGAAGTGGCTAAAGCGAGATGAGCGCCGCAACCCCAGAGTCAGCCACGACTGGACCTAATGCTCAGGGGTCCCTTTACCTTTACTTTTATCTTTGCCCAGCCCTACCTGGAGCTGCCATGGCTTGAGCAGGCGCTCTACCCACTGAGCTGCACTCTTCCCCTTTACTGATAAAACTTGTAGGAGGAATTGGGGCCACCCCACATGGCTAGAAAGCCACAAGGAAAATCTGGGGAGCTAGCGAGTGATAGCTCTTTTTTTAGCCACTGTAATGTTGCACTTTTATAAAAAACGAAATAAAACAGTGACAGGCTCAAGGTCACCCAGTGAGCTTGTTGGCTGAGCAGGGATTTGAACCCTGACCTCCCAGTTCCTGGTCCAACACCTTAACCACTGCACCACCCTGGCTCTTTCCTTGAAAGGTGTGTTGGTAAGCATTTTTCCATTGCAGAATCGACCTGGCCCATGGCATGAGATATTCTGTCTTAGTACAGGTTATAAGAGCAGGAGAACATCTGGGATAACTTCCTCTTCTGAGGGAAGGGCCATAGCTCAGGGGTTGGAGCATCTGCTTGGCATGCAGAGGGTCACAGGTTCAATGCCTGGCCTCCCTAAGTAGGGCTGGGAATGTCCTCTTCCTGAAACCCTGGAGAGATGCTGCCAGTCAGTGTGGGCAGTATTAAGCTACTTGACTCAGTTTAATTAAATAATAATAATAATAATAATAATAATAATAATAATAATAATTCATTATTTATACCCCGCCCATCTGGCTGAGTTTCCCCAGCTACTCTGGGCGGTTCCCAATCGAGTGTTAAAAACAATACAGCATTAAATATAAAAAATTTCCCTAAACAGGGCTGCCTTCAGATGTCTTTTAAAGAGAAGATAGCTGCTTATTTCCTTGACATCTGATGGGAGGGCGTTCCACAGGGCGAGAAGGCCCTCTGCCTGGTTCCCTGTAACCTCACTTCTCGCAATGAGGGAACTGCCAGAAGGCCTTTGGAGCTGGACCTCAGTGTCCGGGCTGAACGATGGGGGTGGAGACGCTCCTTCAGGTATACAGGACCAAGGCTGTTTAGGGCTTGAAAGGTCAGCACCAACACTTTTAATTGTGCTCGGAAACGTACTGGGAGCCAATGCAGATCTCTCAGGACCGGTGTTATGTGGTCCCGGCAGCCACTCCCAGTCACCAGTCTAGCTGCAGCATTCTGGATTAATTGCAGTTTCCGGGTCACCTTCAAAGGTAGCCCCACACAGAGCACATTGCAGTAGTCCAAGCGGGAGATAACTAGAGCATGCACCACTCTGGCGAGACAGTCTGCAGGCAGGGAGGGTCTCAGCCTGCATACCAGGTGGAGCTGGTAGACAGCTGCCCTGGACACAGAATTGACCTGTGCCTCCATGGACAGCTGTGAGTCCAAAATGACTCCCAGGCTGCACATCTGGTCCTTCAGGGGCACAGTTACCCCATTCAGGAGCAGGGCGTCCCCCACACCCGCCCATCCCCTGTCCCCTCAAAACAGTACTTCTATCTTGTCAGGATTCAGCCTCAATCTGTTAGCCGCCATCCATCCTCCAACTGCCTCCAGGCACTCACACAGGACCTTCACCGCCTTCACTGGTTCTGATTTGAAAGAGAGGTAGAGCTGGGTATCATCCGCATCCTGATGAACACCCAGCCCAAATCCCCTGATGATCTCTCCCAGCGGCTTCATAGAGATGTTAAAAAGCATGGGGGGAGGATGGAGCCCTGAGGCACCCCACAAGTGAGAGCCCAGGGGTCTGAACACTCATCCCCCAACACCACTTTCTGGACACGGCCCAGGAGGAAGGAGCGGAACCACTGTATCACTTTGCCCCCGTTTAAGGCAGCTTCCTGTTTTTCTTGCAACCTAGGAAGCAGGGGTGCATGCTTTTAATTCATTGCAAATAGTACCTGCAAGCATGCTGCTTGCAGACTGAAGTTTTTCTCCCTCTCCCTCTCTTGCTCCTGACCCTTTCTGTGCTTCCCTGGGAACTGCTGGGCGTCCTGATGATCTGACCCGGCTCTCCTCTGTGCTTGCAGAAAGAGACGACCCACCTCGCCTCCCGAGCGCCATCCATCATCCTCCCGGCAGGCTGGAGCCAGCCGCCGTGACAGCCATTCATCACCCGCCCAGGAAGAACAGAAACCACCCAGCAGGTGGCGCCACAGCCCAGCCTCCTCCAGCAGCATCAAGGAAGGGACCCCCGGCAGCCGACCAGCCACAAAGACACAGGCCCCCAGCCGCGGAAGGAGGGAGTGTCGAAGCGGCAGCCGGTCCCCGTCTCCTAGAGGCAAAAGCACCGGGCCCCACAAGCGGCGGAGGAGCAGGTCCCCCACATCTCGGGGAGCCAAGAGGAGGCATGACACGGATTCCGACGACTGAGACTTCGTCTGAAACCAAAGAGGCTGCAGCCTTTGTTTTTGGGCCCCTCTCCTTGGCTGCTAACTGGATCGAAGTCACGGCTATTGCAAATGTCCCAGAGGTCCTTCTGGAGTCTAGCAGGAAGTCAGGAAGCCGCCCCCACAAATAAATGTTTGTACCTTAAATGGCTTTGTGAGAAACGCACCTCAGAGTTTAGGCAGCTGCCTAAACTTTGAAAAAAGTAGCTCAGTTGACTTGATAACTCTTCCGACAAGGGTTTTAAAACGCTAGGAGCGAAACTTTTGAGTTGCGCAGAGCTCTTTTTCGGACATTGTTTTTTTCGAAAGGGGGGCGATAAATGTCCAGAGCGGCTCATGTGTGCTAAACCATAGGAGAAATGTAAAAAGCAGACATCATATTGATGTGTTACACACACATACACTCAGTCCAAAAACAACAACAACAACAACTGTTAGGAGGGTTGTGTGGGGTAGATCGGAATGCTTTATCAAAGTAAGAAGAGTTAAGTACATCTCAGAGGCTGTACTGCTGCAGAAACACCCCTCTCAAGTTCATGAAGCCTAGTTTGCAGTACTTTTATTATGTTGGAAGCAGACCAGAGTGGCTGGGGCAGCCCAGTAAGAAGGGCAGGGTATAGATAATAAAATTATTATTATTATTAGTAGTAGTAGTAGTATATGACATAAAAAAGTAGGATTCTAAACCACCCAGCTTCCTTTTTGTTGATGCATATGGATCGCTTCCTTATGCATCAGTAACAAAGAATCTTGTGCTGCCTTGAAGACTAAAGGCATTTATTGCGGCTGAAACCTTTGTCAGGTGTATGAAATGGCCCCCTCAACATGTAGGCTATGTACCTGCATCCGAAAAAGGCACACCCACTGATGCAATCCCTTTGTAGAACTCTTGACAAAGGGGGCTCTGGCCCACGAGCCCCCAATATACCACACAATAAAGGTGTTAACGACAGATCCACATCCTGCATTTAAAGTGCACGTGATGCGCATTTAAAGCGCATGTCTTCCCCCCAAAGAATCCTGGGAACTAGCTTGTTAAGGATTCCAGGAATTGTAGCAGCTCTGTGAGTGGGGGAACTACGGTTCCCAGGGGAAAGACATGTACAGTAGTTATCATTTTATTTATAATAAAAACAAATAGACACGTACAGTACTTTAAATGTGCATTGGGTGTCCTTTAAATGTTTGGTGTGGATCTGCAATTGGTCTTTAAAGGAGCAGGTAGTCCTTGGTTTTTCTGCAGCAGGGTTACTCGGTTACCTGCCCCAGCCCAAAGCGTGTTGTCTCCTTTCACTTACATGGCAAAGTACTCTAAAGAGGGTCTTGCCTAATGTTTGTTCCCTAAGGTTTGCAAAAGATCACTGGATCGCCAGCTCCTGCAGCTGTGCATGTATTGGGGATGAGGCACCCTCCCACACTGCCATCATGACTGCTTAACTTGGGCAGAGCTGGGGCACTAGCAAGGTGGGCACGCACTAGCATGCATGTGCCAGTGGATTCGCCTCTGCCAGTCCGGCCCTCACCTCGGTGTAACCACACAGCCTTGCCATTCTCTCCTGCCAGCCCTGTCCAGGTAAGCAGCAACGAGAAGGCAGGGTTTGGGAGAGGGCTGCTCTGTGGCTTGGCCCCAACATTAGCCAGGTCTCAACACACACAAGCAGTCGCAGCAGAAGCATCTAGAACTGGCTGCTTGCATTTCTCTCTGCCAAGGGAGGAAGGGACTGGACTGTTTTCTTAGCGTTTGTAAAACCGGTTTGTTAAAATCGCCCTGCCGTGCCACCAGCTGTTTGTATCTTGCCATTGGTGTTCTTTCTATCTCTACAGTATTTTTAGGTTTATATAATGTTCTGCCAAGTATTGTAAAATGAATGAAACCATTTTTTTAAAGAGAGGGGAAGACAGTTGCGTGTAACGCCCGGACTTCTTTCCAGCTTCTCAAAACCTCGTTTTACTTGGTGAAATTAATTTATTCCGTTGCTCTGTGTCCCGGATGACCTCTGTCCCCCACTAAGCTTTGCTCACCTGGGTATCCAGGATGTGGTAAGCAGGGTGTGTCTCCCTGCGAGTGTCTCGTATTCCTCCTTTGGAGTTGCAGTTCACTAAAAATGTGAAAAAGCAGGGAGGGGGCGGCTGCTCGCTGCCTTTTGCCGGTAGCGAGTGGGTAGCCATGTGATCTCTCATGCTATTGCCGCTTGCACAGACAGGTGAGTCGTGGCACAGGGCAAGAAGATGAAGAGTTTGGATTTGATATCCCGCTTTATCACTACCCGAAGGAGTCTCAAAGCGGCTAACATTCTCCTTTCCCTTCCGCCCCCACAACAAACACTCTGTGAGGTGAGTGGGGCTGAGAGACTTCAGAGAAGTGTGACTAGCCCAAGGTCACCCAGCAGCTGCATGTGGAGGAGCGGGGAAGCGAACCCAGTTCACCAGATTACAATTCTACCGCTCCTAACCACTACACCACACTGCTTTCCTCCTCGCTGTGGCTGGTGGAGAGCAGTAGTCAGGGAGGGGCAACCTCAGGCCAGGGTCCAGCCAGGCGTTTTTGGCCCTTGGAAATCTCTCTAGGCCACACACCCCACTGACGCATGCTTCACTCTTCGAGGGTCTTTGCCTTGCTGGAATGTTTCCTTCGGCTCTGGTTCTTGCACTGCGGGGCTTGGACTAGATGGGCCTCACAGTCCCTTCCAACTCTATTATTCTGTTCTTAGCCTCATGCTAGCCTGGATGGAGACTTCTCAGGACACTTGCCTCAAAGCAGGCTCAGAGTCTTTTGTCTTTGTTATTACAGTGGTACCTCGGGTTAAGAACTTACCGTATTTTTCGCTCTATAAGACGCACCAGACCACAAGACGCACCTAGTTTTTGGAGGAGGAAAACAAGAAAAAAAATATTCTGAATCTCAGAAGCCAGAACAGCAAGAGGGATCACTGTTCAGTGAAAGCAGCAATCCCTCTTGCTGTTCTGGCTTCTGGGATAGCTGCGCAGCCTGCATTCGCTCCATAAGACGCACACACATTTCCCCTTACTTTTTAGGAGGGAAAAAGTGAGTCTTATAGAGCAAAAAATACGGTAATTCATTCTGGAGGTCCGTTCTTAACCTGAAACTGTTCTTAACCTGAAGCACCACTTTAGCTAATGGGACCTCCCGCTGCCACCACGTGATTTCTGTTCTCATCCTGAAGCAAAGTTCTTAACCCGAGGTACTATTTCTGGGTTAGCAGAGTCTGTAACCTGAAGCGTCTGTAACGCAAGGTATCACTGTATTTGAAGCTTAGATTTAAAGAGAAGAAGAAGATTGCAGCCTTCTGAAGAAAAGTAAAAAGAAAAGCATTTCTCTGCCACTGTTGCCTCTGGTTCTGCCTGCTACTGGTATGTGTGGCTGCTCAGAAGGAAATGTGGTCCTTGGGCGCAAAAAATATCCCCATCTCTGTGGTAGTAGTAAAGGTAAAGGTACCCCTGACCGTTAGGTCCAGTCGCAGACGACTCTGAGGTTGCGTGATCATCTTGGTCTATAGGCCGAGGGAGCCGGTGTTTGTCTGCAGACAGCTTCCGGGTCATGTGGCCAGCATGCCTAAGCCGCTTCTGGCAAACCAGAGCAGCGCATGGAAACACCATTTACCTTCCTGCCAGAGTGGTATCTATTTATCTACTTGCACTTTTTGGCCTGCTTTTGAACTGCTAGGTTGGCAGGAGCAGGGACCGAGCAACGGGAACTCACTCCGTCATGGGGATTCAAACCGCCAACTTTCTGATCGGCAAACCCTAGGTTCTGTGGTTTAGACCACAGCACCACCCGCGTCCCATAGTAGTAGTAGTGGACTGCAGTTCCCATCAGGCCCAGCCAGCGTGGAAACCAGCCAGAGATATTGGGAGTTGCAAACCAACTAATTTTGGAGGTGCCCCACATTGGCTAACCCTGCTTAAGGTAAAGGTGAAGGGACCCCTGACCATTAGGTCCAGTCGTGGCCAACTCTGGGGTTGCGGCGCTCATCTCGCTTTATTGGCTGAGGGAGCCAGCGTACAGCCTCCGGGTCATGGGGCCAGCATGACTAAGCCCCTTCTGGCGAACCAGAGCAGTGCACGGAAACGCCGTTTACCTTCCCGCCGGAGCGGTACCTACTTATCTACTTGCACTTTGATGTGCTTTCGAACTGCTAGGTTGGCAGGAGCAGGGACCGAGCAACGGGAGCTCACCCCGTCGTGGGGATTTGAACTGCCGACCTTCTGATTGGCAAGTCCTAGGCTCTGTGGTTTAACCCACAGCGCCACCCGCGTCCCTTCTTTACCTGCTTAATTGAGAGTAAATCCTATTGAGCTCAGTAGAGTTGTATAGGATTGTACTGGCAACCTCCTCGTGAGCCCCGGCCACACCCTGCATTTTGAAGCACTCTCGCGCCACTTTGGCACTCGTGGATTTCCTCAAAGAATTGTGGGAAGTAGTTTGTTGAGGGTGCTGGGAACTGTAGCTCCGTAAGGTGTCTCCTAACAACTCCCAGCACTGTTCACCAACTGCAGTTCTCATTAGGATTCTTTGCGGGGAAGCCGTTAGCACTTAACTTTTCCCAACTCGCCACTGAGCCTGGGAAAAGGTGAGGTGGGTGGTGGGAACGACTTGAAAAGGACATCTTTACTGGGGCATGGTGGTGGTGACTGGAAAAAGCCCTGCTTTTTGAGCCTTCATGAAATCGGTACCTATTTTCATTGCTCAGTCTTGGGTACCTTCTGCAGTTTAGTTAGGATGCACATTTGAGGAAGAGAATGTGTTTTTTTCAAAAAGCAAACTGCCCAATTACTTTACAAGGGGATGCTTGCAGGGGCTGTAAATGCGTGGAATGGGCTTCTCTCTTAAAAACATATTTCTTTGGCTTCACTCGGGGTGTCTTTGGGGCCCTGAGTTTCCTGAGAAAGGAAATGGGGGCGAGGTGGAAAAACCCTCTTGAAGGACAAACAATAGCTCAATAAACCCCAACCCTGCATAACAAAAGCAGGGTGAAGGAAGGATCCCTCTCACCTATGTGTTAAGTAGGGGGGTCACCAGTGGGAAACAAGCTTTATGGGCCCTGCCTGGGGGTTATAAGCCCCTGAGCAGAGAGAGAAAAAGAAGCCGAGCCTTTAGCTGCGGGAAAAGAAACAGCCACTGTGAAATCACAGCCCTTGTAAAAGTGCAAAAACGGAAGCGGCACACATATTTTGGAAGTTGGGTGATGAGGGCTGAGCTGAGTTCACAGAACTGGAGAGTTGGAAGGGAACCCAAAGGTCATCTAGCCCAACCCCCGGCAATGCAGGAATCTCAGTGTAGATTTCTGCTTTCTAGTCTAACCAGAGCAGGTAGATTCAGGTAGGTAGCCGTGTTGGTCTGACGCAGTCGAAATAAATAGAAAATTCAAAAATTGTCCAGTCGCCCCTTAGATACCAACTAAGTTTGTTCTGGGTACAGTGGATGGTCAGGTTGCGAACATGATCCGTGCAGGATGCATGTTCACAACCCGCAGCATTTGCAACCCACAGTGGCGCATCTGCGCACGTGCGGGTTGCGATTCGGCACTTCTGCACATGCGCAAAAGCAATTTAGCGCTTCTGCGCGTGCGTGACTGCTGAAACCTAGAAATAACCTGTTCCGATACTTCCGGGTTTCGGTGGGTCTGTAACCTGAAAAAACGCAACCTGAAGTGTCTGTAACCCGAGGTATGACTGTATAAGCTTTCATGTGCATGCACACTTCTTCAGGCACACGAAAGCTTATACCCAGAACAAACCTAGTTGGTCTCTAAGGTGCTACTGGATAATTTTTAAATTATTTTATTCAGAGCAGGGCAGTTCACAATCATTCCAGAGTTTTGGTAGGAGAGCCAGTGTGGTGTAGTGGTTAAGAGCAGTAGTCTCATAATCTGGGGAACTGGGTTCGTGTCTCCGCTCCTCCACATGCAGCTGCTGGGTGACCTTGGGCCAGTCACACTTCTTTGAAGTCTCTCAGCCCCACTCACCTCACAGAGCGTTTGTTGTGGGGGAGGAAGGGAAAGGAGACTGTTAGCCGCTTTGAGACTCCTTAAAGGGAGTGAACGGCGGGATATCAAATCCAAACTCTTCTTCTTCTTCTAGTTGCAAAGTGAATTGACTTCTGCAATTGAGAGTTAGCCAACTCAGTGTTCTGCAGATACTGCTCAACTCACAGCCCCTAACCGTTGGCCGTGCTGTCTGGGGCCAATGGCAGCTGGAGTCCAGTGACATCTGCAGGGTCAAAAGTTCCCCATCCCCGATCTAGAGGTATACCGACTGGAAAGCAGGCTCCTGTATCCCTAAGTCTCTGGATGTTTGGGATTGTCAACTCTCGCCAGCCCCAACCAGCATTATATAGTTGAGCGTTGTCGTTACGTAGCAAGGAAAGGCCTGTGGACAAGCGGTGGAGTAACTGCTTTGTATGCTGAAGGTTGTAGGTTCAATCCACAGCATTAATCAATTGTTTTTATACCTGGTGTTAGCCGTCCTGAGCCCGGCCTTGGCTGGGGAGGGCGGGGTATAAATAAAATTTATCATCATCATCATCTCCATATAGAGCTGGGAATGTCCCCCGCTTGAAATCTTGGGAGGGCTGTTGCCAGTCAGTATTGACAGTACTAAGCTAGATGGACCAGTCCTTCCTTGGATGTTTCTAAGCAGAGGTTGGATGGCTGTCTGTCATGGATTCTTTTGCTGAGATTCCTGCATTGCAGGGGGTTGGACTGGATGACCCTTGGGGTCCCGTCCAACTCTACAGTTCTGTGATTTGATGACTCAGTATAAGGAAACTTCCTACTGTTCCTATATCACAACAACCCAATAAAATCAATTTAATAATAATAATAATAGGTTAATGCGCTAGATTGATGGGATAGAAAGGACTGACAAAACCCGGGACCAGGAGGAAGAGACGCTGGATGAAGATTGGAAGAAATTTTTTTTTATTATTAGGATTGCTTTATAAAATTGATGAATGTTAGAAAAATGTTGGAACGAAATTATTTGGCTTTAGCAAAAATGTTAAAAGAATTATGTAAGAATATGTTATGGTTATGAGAAATTGGTATAAATAAGATCTAAGTTTTAAGTTTTAGGGTCTTTTATAGTAAGATAAAGTTAAAATAGATTAAGGTAATGTAATGACAGAATATTATGAAAAATGGAAAGGATTTGCTGTGACTATTAACAACTAGGATACAAAAAAAGGGAGGAGTGAGGAGGTCAAAGAAAGAAGGTAATGACAGTTAAGGATTTGAGAATATTGGATTTGTTTTTAATTTTTTGTGGCTTATTTTTGCCTTTTGATTGAGTTGTGTTACGTGCTTTGTTCTTATTTTTTGATTTTGATTTTTATCAATTTGTATTGTTTGATTGTGGTTTGTTTTTCTTTTTTTCTCTTTCTTTTTCTTCTTTGTTTTTTCTGTAATTCTAAAATTCTTAATAAATATCATTTAAAATAATAATAATAATAATAATAATAATAATAATAATAATAATTTAATTATATCCCACCCTCCCCAGCCGAAGCCAGGCTCAGAGCATCTAACAAAAAAAGTAACACAGCATTCTAAAATCAATTCAGAATCAAATTAATGGCAACCATTGGGCTAGAGTTCTGTGAGGATTACAGAAGGAGGGGGTCAGACTGTGCCTTGGCCAAAGGTCTGGTGGAACAGCTCTGTCTTGAAGGCCCTGCGGAAAGATGTCAAGTCCCATAGGACACTAGTCTCTTGGGACAGAGCGTTCCACCAGATCGGGGCCACACCCGAAAAAGCCCTGGCTCTGGTTGAGGCCAGCCTAACCTCCCTGTGGCCCGGGACCACCAAGATGTTTTTCTTTGAAGACCGTAAGGTCCTCTGTGGGACATACCAGGAGAGGCGGTCCCATAGGTACGAGGGTCCTAGGCCGTATAGGGCCATATAGGGCTCATTAAACTATTAACCTGTTTCCTTTGCTTCTAATCACTTTAACAGCTT